AAAAATGAAAAGAGAGATTCACATTTCACTGTAGTTTCGAACAAAGATCCAGGAGGATTACATCCCATTTGCGGCTTGTCTTTGGGATCAGACATCAATTTGCTGCTGTGTGAGATGGCGAGTCCTGCTGCAACTGCACATGTGGGCAGTGAATGAGAGGAATGTTTGCTCGCCTCTCCATCATAATCTGTTGTTCATCAAAGGGATCTATTTTCTGGCCCCCTTTGTACCTTTTCACCGGACTGCAAACTCTGACAAAGTGCCTGAGTCCGTGCTCTTTAATGATGATATATGAGAGTTATCCTGAGGATGTTGTCAGATCAGGGGGATGTGCCGTGGGCGTAAACCTGAAGGGGGTTGCACACGGAAGGTAGAAGGTAGTATTTTTTATTTTTTTTCGGTAATCCAAAGAGACTATTTTGTGATGGACTGCTGCTCTCAGATAAGTGTTAGGAAACAAGCGAAGGAACCTCGAAGTGGTTTAACTGTTAACTCGATCTTAACATTGACTATTAACCCCCATTTTCTAATGTGTTTATCTATAATTGAGAGTGTCACGACTTAAGCGATTAGCAGAAGAAGGGATCAAAGCGGTTCAATAAGATATCAGCTGTAGAGTCCCAAGTAATGTGGCTTCATAAGTTATGCTTCGCAGGTAGTTATACACTTGTTTGTGATAAATCGAAAGTGGGGTGTGATGTTGTTGAGAAAATTTACCGCAAACTGAGTTTTGGTGCGTTTTCTGTCTCCCGCGCCAATGTCGTAAATGAAGATAAATTCACAAATACACACACACTCCTAAAACTGGATTCGATTCGTTGTGCAATCTAGGTGATGCTCAAGTCGTATTGCTTTGACACAGTGCGCTGTGCAGCAGCCATTTCTCAAAGTGACACGGAATAAAGAAAGGGTTGCGGCCTCCTCCTGTTTAATTATAGCGCCTTGAGAAAAGCAGCAGATGCCAACAAAAGACATCAAAACAGCTATTTGCATGAAGAGAGAAGTGTAATTTCAAAATGAGTCAAAAGTTTGTGTTTTGGTGCGCTGATATTTCTGTCGTGCTGAATGTGCTCCCGTGGAAGAAAATTGTTAATCAGAGCAGTTGCAATTTTGCCAGATGCTACGCTGCTCGTGTCGGTTAGTTTGGGTGTTTCCTGCTGCACGGGGTCATGAGAAAAACACTGCCGGAGCTGAACTCTTGCACAGGTTAATACAGACTAATACATGTTAGTGATGCTCCACATTTCAAAAATACGTACAAAAACATCTGCGTAACTGGTTATAATCAATCTTTTATAAAATGCACTGCTCAGGGCTGGTTAATTATATGAAGCATTATGATAATGATTTTATTCTTTATAGAAAACACTGGGTATTTTCATAACCGGAGGTACTGCTTCTGAAGCCTTTGTCAAACTTCAGGGAAGGAGAACTGTTAAATAAGCATTTTCACAGCATCTCAAAGCATCAGCACTAATTAAATTGCATGGTATTTATTTATTTACTTGCTTATTCTTTTTTTTTTTTTTCTCCAACCTTAGATCAAATGCATTTTATCTTTGCTGTGGTCCTAAAATCACTGTTTAGGATTGACAACTCTGACATTTCTGATTCTGTAAAAAAAAAAAAAAATGGTTTGTTTTGCATCTTTTAGCAGGAAGAAATCCGATAAAAAATATGAATCAATACAATTATCGCAGTGGAAAAGTCCTAGTTTTTCTTCCTTTCTAATATGTTTTTCCCCACTAAATAAACAAAGGAAACATTACGAGCCATCAAGTTGTCTGCATTAAGTGTCCTTACACCATCATTATCCTCCATAGCGCCCTTTGCATTATTGCCCTTTTTGAACTTAACACTAAAGCACTGGTAGCAAAGTGTCATGATGTTTGCAAATGGTTTCTCTCATTAAAAACAACTCTATAAAGCAAATGCATTTGCGCTAACAAGGACGCATGAGGTCGGGAACAAATACACGAACCAGACTATCACCAGTAATGAATTGGTATTAGCCCTGTGTTGAGCTCTGTTCTCTGCAGTGTCTCAATAAAACAGCTTTTAGAAGGAAAAACTAAGCAAGGTATTGTCACCTGGCTCTCACATGTGAAAGGATGTCAGAGGTGTCAAACTCATTTCCTGCATTCAGTTCGCCAACCAAAAGGGAACGAAATCATACAATTAATAATCTTATTACCGCGTCATCAGCTTGTTTTCAGTTTCGCACCATCTTCTGCCGCGGTCTCGTGGCTAAACTAATTTAAAGAACCTCAGTCATACGCTGCTCATTTCATTAAAGCATCTCTGCAACTCCTCTCCTGAATTTCTAGGTGAATTAACCAGCTTTAAAGGCTTTGTTATTGCTCATACTATGGACTGTTAAGTTTCTATTTCGACCCAGTTGCCAAATTAGTTGATGGGTGCTTCCCTGTGCAAAGCTAAAAACCAGACACCGACCTTGTGCAGAAAAGCTTCCTGTAGGACTGTTGGCTCAAAGCAAGAAAAAAAAAATCAATGTCCTCTTCACACTGGCACATTACATAAACCGCCGCCATACCTGAAAATGATCAGAGTCAATATCGGCACTGTTTAGCAGCCGCGTGTGTTGACGTCTCTCTTCTCGGCTCTGACGCGGTAAGCTGAATTTTTTTTTCTATTCTTGCTGCGTTCCAGTTTTATTTTCAGGAACCGTTAAATCTAAATTCTGACGTAAAACTAGGTTCCTTTCAGTACAACAACTGCCCTGAGGACGTACATACTGCTGCATACAAACAGTTGAGCCAACTACCTCATCACAACATTGCACCTTAAGCTTTTGATCTTCTGGCTCATAGAGTATAGATTATGCGCAGAGGATTGTGGGTCAGAGTGGCCAAAGAAGCACGCTGGCTTGTATACTGCAAATCAAGCAGATGCAGTAGGACAGCCTGGTGGGTTTTTTTTTTTTTGGTTTATTGCATTCGACTTACTATGTCTTGGGACATATTAAATCTCTCTCTGGTATATTATACGGTATGGAAGCACAGGTATTGGAAGGCACCCAATGTCTTACTTATTCAAGCACAGACTTCACGTCCTTGGACTCCGCTCGATCACTTCAATTTATGGAATGTGGAAATATACTTCTATTCCCCAACTTTCACAGGGAAATACTGTACTTTTTACTCCACAAGTTTTATGTCACATCTGCCAGTTTTTATAGCATTTTAAGACTTTACATCATTTAAAAATAGCTCAACAGCACTTCCCTTTGACCAAGTGTCACATAAATGATGTTTGCACAAGCAGTATCAATACATTAATATAAAAAACGAGGGCTAATCTACATGAGGAGCACTTTTACTTACGATGCTTTGAGTAGATTTTGGCGCTTTTACTTTTACTTGAGGTATTTCTACAGTGTTGCTGCCTTCACTTACGCATGGGGAAACTTTCCCCACCATGGTTTAAAACTCCTAAGCAGACAAGAAACTTTAAATGAAACTTTAATGAAACTTTAATGACGATAATAAATTACTCTTGATAGGTTAGACCACAGATAAGATAGCAGTGCTATCATTAACTACAGACGTGCCAAGTGATCACTGTAAGAAAGCTAATTTAGCAGGGGGGTAGATCACGTTACAAAACTTCTCTGTGTTCACATAATAACTTTCGTTTCGGGGTCTGGGGAAAGTTGACACACAATTACCACTGTAGTGGCTTTTCATGACATTGATGAAGCTGTTAGTAAAGGGCTGGAAAAGCCACAACAAGTCAAATCTTTCCGTTCCGTTACAGACTCTGACTTCCTACCGAATGGAGCAGGAAAGAGATTTTGCGGGTTGTCAAAAAGAAAGCAAATGAAAAACAATAGGAGAAAAGAAAATAATCGAATGAAACGTCACAGTAAGAAGCTTGGATACGTCTCTTTTTTTTCCCCTTCTTTCTTTCGATTGCACAAAGACATTTGTGAAAAGTTGTCATTAAGAATATCCAGCTGCTCTATTTTCTGAGAGGTGATAATGTGCTCTCGTAAGACTTTTAACAAAAGGAGCACACGCGAGGCAGCGGTTCATGCTGAGTTTATGTCAAGTGAGAGTAGAGCAGTTGGAGAATGGCCTTTATTTATCTGCAAACAGAGACACGAGGACAACTTGGTATATCTTAGAATAACAGCAGCACATAAGAGACATTCATCTGCCAGCGATCGTTGACACGCTTGACGGCTGCTCCATAAATAAGCGCTTCAATGTACAACGGTGGAAAAAGCCTGCATTCCCTGAATCATTATTTACAGTATAAAGCAAATTCCCTTGAATATCTATGACCAACCACAAATTCCTATGAGGGATATCAGTGCCATGCACATTCAAAAGTTTATCAAATCATCTATTGTATATATTCTCAATCCGTGTTCACAGCAGCCCAGGGTGTTTTCTGCTGTTCATCAGAGGGGCTGTTTTCCCTATTGAGATAAGAAATTAAATCTGCAGGAGCAGAGGATGCTGGGATTGCTGCAGGGTGGCGAAGCAGCAGCTCTGATAATGGAGCCGACTCCCATTGCGCAGGCTATGAGGCAAACAGCCGTGGCGCCAGCCCAACCCTGCCTATGTGAGAGGATAGCTAACAGTGTCACTCTGCGGAGGCTCTCTCTCTCCCTTTCTCTCTCCCCGTATGTGAACATGTGGTTAAAGCTGCATATGAAGGAAAGAATGAGACGCTGTGCTTTTGACTCCCTCTCCGTCTCGGTTTGAGATAATATATGTGGGAGAAAGAGAGGGGTAAAACTGTAGGGGTGTGCTTTTTGTGCAGGGAATGCTCATGTGATAAATCAAACACACTGACCTCGACTGATCGATCCAGTCAAAAGGGCGGCGACATTCTTTCGGCATATTGTTATCGCAGCCCCCTCTCTTCCGTCTAATTGGCCCATCACTTTTCTGCTCACATTTACAGTCTGGATGTGCGGCAGCGTGCTATGGAAATGTGAAGAGGGTTTTAATTTCAGTTTCGTAACTCACCAGAATATCGTGTCGGTTTGGATGCTCCTCGCAGGGTTCACTTCAAAGCAGTCTGTGGAGAGAAATAAACGGTCACACCTTAATGTGCAAGCACAAATAACATTGGGGGCCGTACGGCACCACTTGTAATAGTGTCAGAATCATGAAAAGGTTCAATTTACAGTTCAATCTTTGATTCCACCCCAGACTTAATACAAATGATTTGATATTTCTATCAAAGTAGTGCTGGAACAATTGCTTTCTGCCCAGAGCCTGTCTGCCAGATGAAATTTTCAAGGAGAAATATGGTTTTATGTGGCTTCTTCTGTAATAATGATTTTCTTGCTTTTTACGCATAACTAATATTTTTCTTTAGCCTGTATAATAATTAACCTCGGATCATACACTTGCATTACCTTGAGCTAAGTTTTCCCTTCACATATGTAATTTTTCATTACAGCTGTTAAATTCAATGAATGGATTCAATGAATACTGACTGCTGAATATTAAACATGCACTTTAGGGAGGTTTTGCACTCTTCCTTTGTGCTTTGCAGGCTGCTGTATCATTACATACTGTGTTATTACTTTGTGAATGAAAATCCTTTGTATTTTCCATAAAGTTCAATAAAGCTCATTCATTTCACACAAATCACAATCACTGATGAAATAATGAAATACATTTCAGTTAAATGCAGTCAAATACTACAAGAAGCCAACCCACCACAGCTCATTACCTTTAATTAGCCCCACCTAAGGCCATTCATTATTAGTTCCTTTGATTAATTAATTAGCTAATTAATTCATTAATTATTGAAAACTGCACAAGTTCTACCACTCGGTGTTGAACTTCCGAACTAACCTTTTGCAGTGCCGATGAATATTCTCGTTTACCCCCCTCAAACCAAAAGCCCAATGTGGGATCGAAGTCTAAGTGACACCAACAGTCAGATTTGTTGTCACTGGTCCGTATCATTCTATTTGTATGCGGTTTATATTTACAGTGTATGCGTCCTTCTGGTACATTTTCATGGTTTTGTCATGCAAAATAAAGGTCAAAATCAAGTTTTGAGGGTATATACTGTATGTCAATTAATATGTTTCCTTTCCTGTGACATTTTTGATGAGCCAGCCAGCATTTGATGGTATAAACATAAATAATTTAATGTAATTCAGTCAGCTAATACTATCCATCACAAGAACTACAGTTGCCCTTTAGGTTATGGATCGTATGAGCGAGCAGAGAGAGATATCCAACCACATGGTTAAGAATTGGTTTAGGTTAAAATACAACCCTTTAACAACATATTAGAAACGTCTCCTCCATTTTCTGAGTTACCAGTGTTGGTCCCATCCCATCTGATATATGATATGTTGACTAAAAAGGAGCAACAGTAAAGCAATTAAATGAATGGCAAAGATGTGCTGTTTTATTTGTGATGCATCTCCAACAAACGGAATCCGGTAAAAATCCATTTACGTGCAAATTGAGAATGTAGATTAGTTGTATAGAAACATAATTTTGTGAAGAAAGGGCTTGGCTTTGGATATACGCTTGGGGGAAACTTTCCAAAGGATAAAAGGTACAATCAAATTTATTATTTTGTGACAAAGATGTGGATGATGGAAAATGCTCCACAGCTCTGAATTACTGTGATTTGACAAGTACTGCAGTAATTCCTACTCTGCATGCCTACTTTTAGCCTTTTGTTTTAGCACAGCACAGATGCTGTTTACCCTGATGATGAAAAATGGATATGATTCCCACAAACAGTGGGTCTTTGATTTCAAACAGGGGTCGCCAAAAGCAGGTTTAGCCAACAACCAGCAGGGATTTTTGCCAGTTTACCAGCTGTATTTAGCAAGCCACTAAACCTGAGGTTAGAGATTCCTGTTACAGGTTTTAAAATATGCACTTGAATGTTATGATATAAGAGTCGGGCTTGATGCACCAGGGATAAAGGAGCATCCTCACCAGTTCATTATCCTGATATAAAAAGCACAGTAAACATACAGCATTGTACTTGTGCTGCGGTGCATAGCGAGCTAGTGCATTACTACTAGAATACAAATTGAATGCGCGAGTCATGAACAGTTCGTTTCCACAATTCTATATAAGCCGGTTAGTTTAATTCAGTGTAAGTCTGCTTTAAACTTTGCATAGTTATGATCAAGGCATTACGATTATACAGCAATATATTACAGAGAGCAAACCAATAAATCCATTGATTCTCTTTGAGATGCACTGTGGGAAGATAAAAACTCTTTCATTAGGCGCAAATCTTGCAGAACCAGGCTCAGGGAGGATGGATCATCTGCCTCGACCAGTTAGGGTGAGGGTAAAGTGTTGAGAGAGGAAAGCAAGAGAGGTTTTTTGTTGTTTTTTTTTAATGCTGGGTGAACACTGTCGTTAGTGTGCTAGTTAACTGAACAAGGTTCTATGCAGAAAAACACACTGAGTAAACCATACACTTTTGCTTTTGTACATAGGTTTTGCAAAGGCATAAAAACACGCCGTCCATCTCATTAAAAGTAGAACAACACTAGTTCAACTTTATTCCAGTGACTGATATCAGAAAATCCGGCTGCATTTATAGACTTGACTTATCTCCTCTGATGATTTACCACCTGAAATGCATAAAGACCGTACACGGCTGTGAACATCAGTGCAGCTGCAAAATTTCGAAGCCATTCTTGCTAAGTGGTTTCCTGCACACCTACGTTTGAGCTGCATCAATCTCACAGGCACAAAAGCAAAACTCTGCAGGACTGGGGATGAACCAACAAAACAGATTTTCGGTGTAAATAGCTTTTTGAAGTGCACAAACAAACTTCTTAAAACTCATTTACCTGCTACAGTGCTGCATATAGGCCAAAACCGTTCAAGGGAGCCACTGTTTCTCGTCTTCCTTCCCCAGTGCACAACTAAAAGACGCACACGAAGCTATCACAGTTAATTGAAGCTTTTGGAGATGAAGGAAAAAAGGGACCACTTTGCACTTTTTTTTTTTTCCCCTCCCCTTTTTTTTCTTCTTCCAGGAATAATGACAACAGAAGAACAGTTCTGATTCTCTTCTGTCAAATTTAATTGCCAAAACAGCAATCTTGATTAGAATCTTAGAGGTCCTTTCTTTTCTTCTCTTCTTTTTATCAGTCCCAGCCAACGCTGCATACGGCGTGTTTGTCCTAGCAAGAAATATTTACCAAACCCAAACTCTCCCTTCTACTCCGTGTAAACAAGGTAAGCCTCTGGTAAAGACCCTGACATTGGGAGCAACCTTCAGAGGTTGCTCAGTAGCCATCAATTACATCCAAAACATACCTTCCTCCTCCTCCTCTTTAGTGTCATGCCTTCTGACTGCAAGAGCTCTCCTTAACACGTGCTATTTGAAGTATTCCAAGCATGTAGCGAAATCTAAAGTCTTGCAAGAAAACCTAACACAACTACTACTTTATTTTTTTTAAAAACGCCATTACATAACGTCCGACGGCCGGCTTTCCGACTGACCTAAGACAGTGATGTGAGAAGTACAATTTCACGCATGCCGCACTTGCCTGAGACATCCATCCTATGTTCACATCCCCTGAAGCAGCCAACGCTGAGGAATTGATTAATACACACTGCACACACTTTCACACGGCAAATATCACCAGTGCTATTCATGCTGCTTTAGCTGTCATCGTGCATATTGTGACTGCATGCTAACTGCCCCTCCATCTACTCATCAAACTCCCACGCAGACACATCAAACACATACGCTGCAGCCGAGCAACGCAGTGATTGGGTTCGTGAGAGGATTTTCTGCTGCACACATTTGGGGCGATTGTTGTTATTTTTCTCTTTCTATCAAAAAAAAAAAAAAAAAAACCATGTGCGACTTGCGAGCGGAGAAGGGGGAAAAGGTTGCAAAACAAAAGCGGTTCTGCTTCAAAAACATCTTTCAGAGATCAAATGTCATTAGAATCATATGCTGCCTCCAGCCAGCGCTTCAATTCTGCTAAAAAGTGATGATGTGCAGCTTAACTGCTGCAGTTCAGGGTATATATATACATATATAGGGCTCATTACTTGTTATTTTCCTTATCAATTAATTTGCCTGCCATATTTATAATTGCTTCGAAAAAGTAATAAAGGCTGATTATGGTTTCCAACGTCCCTGGCTGAAATGTGAAAATTGCTCGTTTTAGTCGACCATCTGCCTCATTTTAAGAGATATCAAAGGTTTAGTTTGGACTTTTAAAAGTGGAGTAGTATGAGGATCTTATCTATAGTAAATGCATTACCTACAACAGTTTGTTTCCAGAAATCTAACTAAATTTAAAAAAAAAATTAGCATATTTTACCAAAGATAGAAAACAGGGACCATTTAGTGCTCTATACATACAATACTGTATGTTTCCTCAGTATTACAGTTTATACTTCAAGATTACTCAAACTGATGTATTCTGCTACAAGGACATATAAAAATATTTTCTTATGGCTGTTAGGCTGTTGTGTTCTCTTGCATTGTCATTACCCCTGTGTTTATATAGTAGCAGCAATGCGTATTAGTCGCATCTGAATGCTTCTGCCGCCTTCCGGGAAAACTGGGCGTCGAGAATCTCTGAAGCGATCATTTTAGGGTTTTTAAAAAGTTTAAGGATCCCTGACCTACAGTGGATCACGCGCCAGTTCGATGCAGCTTATGGGAGGGTCGGCGTGCGAGCTTAACAACGAACCGCTGCAGAAGGGGGTCATCGGCAAAAACGTATTTCAGCCGCATCAACAAAAAAATCAATATCCGTTCACGCTACATGTACAATGTGACTTTGGTGTTTTAACATGTTCATTCCATCTGAACTAACCCTAAAAACCCCAAGTCCCACAATCGCACAAACAAATCAATCGAAGCGGCAGCAGACCAGAAATTCCGGTGTTCTGTGAGGTACAATTACTGCTTTATTTGTTTGGGTCTTTTGTTTTTTAAAGGAGTCTTGCGTCTTTGAAGAGAGCCCAGATGGATATACCGGCTTCACTTCCTCATCAGAAAAGGGCCTGTCTGATGGTGAGGTAAACCGGTAAAAATATTCTAAA